TCCTGCCTAACTTCTTACAGCTTCTTGTTTCATCATTTGCATCCCTTGGCTTCCATTTGTCATTTGTTTTGCTGCTTCTGTTTCCCCAGAGGTACCTCATCTCTAAGGAATGAAATGTTTTGAGCCAATGCCTGGAGGCCCCGTGTTAATTTGTTTTATGGCCCTTTTCTCCAAGCTCTTCCCTCCTGTTTTCCGCAAGCTGAAATTCCTTTTTCATCTAGAGTAGCCATTTGAATCAGCGAGTTGAAAACATCGCCATCAATCACGTTCGTGCTCCGGTCTAATTTTCAAGTGTCCAAGTGATTTAGAAACTGGATTTCCATTTGTAGAAGTGATCAAAGCCCCTCTGCCGGATTTGAAGGCATTTTGGAGTTTATGTCCATTTATCTGAAGGAGAGTTCAGCTCCTAAACACATGCCATAACGATGTTCTGCCTCAGGGCTGCCATCCTCAAAGGCATGTCGCTTTCCAGCATCTGCTGAAATCATAGGTTCTATGGTGAGAGAAGAATTCAGGTGTTGCGAGGTAGGTTTTGCAATATTATGCTCTAAACTCAGTGACAGACTGTTTTGTAAATCCCAAGAGCTACAGCTAAAAGGCGTAAGTAACAGTGCAAGCAGAACTTTCGCATCTCCTTCTCCTCCTCCGGTCTCTTTCACCTCTCCTTCCCCCCCTCTTCCCTTGTCTGGGCAGGATTCTGCTCTCGAGGATGGAGGAATACCATCCCCTGAGCCCCTGTTTCAGGCACTAACTGCAGCGCGTTTGTCTTTAAAATAATTCAAGGCCACTAGAAAAAGCAGCTGCTCCAAACTCAGAGTCGTCTAAATGATGTGGGTTCCAGTGCCTTGGCCCCATCTGACCTAGGAACACCGTGTCCACGTCAGAAGAGTTGGCTCAGCCGTGCCACGCGGCGTCTCGAAATCCCATCCTCCCTTTGGCTTTGATGTGCTTTGTTTTCAACGCGCTGTTTACCGTTCTGCTTCCCCCACAGTCAAAGGAACAGCAGCACCTGTGGGCAGACATCACCCAAACAGACTGAGGGCCGCCATCAGGATCTTGCCAACCTGTGGCCGAGCTGCTAACCCGGCTCTTCAGGCACATCAAGATTGAATAACCGACCCATTAAAAAAGGACAGCAAATTGAACTGCACTGAGCCCCCATCGGTCATGCCTTAAATGATTGATAGAATAAAGCATTCTCCTGCAGCTCTGAACTGCAGATTGGCTCATCCGTCATGTGGAGCTTCCTTTTGTTTTTGTCGATAAGCTACAGGTTAGATAGAAGGAGGAGCTGAACCCGGCAACAGACTTCTGTCTGATATAAATAAGGCGTTAACCCTCCCAGCAGCAGATACAGAAGTACCAAATAAATGATTACAGTCCTTAATTCTCATTTATCTTGAGGACTTAAGCAATTGGTACAAGATTTGGGCTATCAACTGCACAGCCAACCTCTCCGTGGGTGCCACGCACCAGCTCTTTCACTGGACGTACAATTTTTAGCGATAGAAGAACAAGTGAGAGCAAACTTCTAAGAATAAATAAGCACACCGATGCGTTGTTACGGGCTCGCTGTCCCCCTTAAGTGATAATTATTGCTAATGGCTAATGCAGTTGGATGAAAAGTACGAGCAGAATGAGTTATGCTCCACTGATCTTTTCTCTGTTTGCTTCTTTACGTTCACAGGGAATCGGGTGAGGTTGCAAAAGAGAAATTGTGTGTTCTGCGAGGTTTCAGTAGCCTTGCAGCATGAGTCTTGCTTTACAAATGAAACGTAACAATCCCAGGGTGTTGCAAAGAGAACAGCCAGAGAAAGGTGCAGTCTCCTTGGTGACCCCATTTACCTCTTGTGTTGCAATGGGGATTCTGCATGCTGCAGTGTTGAATCGTGTTTGGGTTGCTTCGTGGCATCTTGCTGCAAGCAGCAAAAGAAGCGTTGGATGGAAAGCCACAGGATGAGTGATGGCTCTTGGCAGGTTCATTCATCAACAGCGTTATTACTCATTTCATACACTGCCACCAGCTAACATAGCAAAAACACAGCAAGCAAAACGTGCCTAACAAATGATTGCTTCATGTACTGAAAGGGTCGAGTACACCGGTGCAATAAGCTTTCACAAAGCAGCACATCAGTGCAGGAAAATGATCAGAAAGCTGCGGAATCAATGACAAAAAAGCCTGGAGGGCCTTGACAGATTGCTCGCCTGTCCTAGGCAGGATGAACTTTCCTATATCCTACTGCCATTCTTTAAGATGTGCAATGATAAATTTTGAGGAAACCGGTCGAGAAGTTCCCGGTGTTTGTCAAACAGCACATCGAAGCCAGTGAAAGGTTAATGATGCACCAGTCATGTTTTCCATTTGATAGTTGGTAATTAACAAATATCACGGCCAAGACGTCTCAGATGAAGCAATCAAGAAGCCATAAAGGGATATCTAGTTGCAGACATTCGCATTTTAGCTGATTTGCTCGGTGGTGAGAAAGCACTGGTCTAATCAGAGCAGGGTGCAGCAGCCAGGGCACCCCACGCTGCTCACCTGCAGCAGGGCACGTGTGCTCTGCGTCTCCACCCCCCAAGGTTTTGTTCTCCTTTGTGCTCTGCGAGCATTTCTCAGCAGTGAGTCAAGGCCAGGATTCCCCTACAGAGCGCCGTGCAGCACAGGGCAGGATTGTGCACCTGGCATTGCCCTATCTAGTGGCTACTTAAGGGTTTTACAGAACTGCCTTCTGCTTGGAAAGAACTCGAGCCAAAAGTCCTGACCAGTCGTAGTTTTCTTCATCATTAATGCCTTGGTGAGGTCCTCTGTAAGTTTAATGTAGTACTTTGGTAGTGTGGGAAGTCACAAGGAGATTGGAAATGTCCCGTCGGGTCGATGAAGGCAATGCCTTTGCACACTTGGACCCAAGCTTAAAACCACAGCCTCACGCTAAGAGTACTGATGTTGGGAACCTTAAAACAGCTTGAGGAGAACTGCCAAAATCTGGTTTCGTGCAGCTGGGTGGCAAGAAGGTGGTTCTGCTCGTACTCTTCCTCCTTTTCTTTACTGCACTAGCTTTCACTCTAATGATCCTTTCCTCCCCCCGTGGCCGGCCTTCAACAAGAAGTCTGATGGGAGGAGTAAGAGCTCAGAGCACGGTGCCAAGTTCCTCTTTGGTCGGTGACTCACGGGAGCTTCCCAGCTGCCACCACCCCTTCCTGCCGGCGCTCAGCGAGGGGTGACTCAGGTGTGCTGGGAACTGCGCTCCCTGCCCCTTGTGTGGGGGCTCGTTGGAGGGTGCCAGGAGGGAAAGGGACGTGTTGGAACTAGCTGCTTCGCCGGCAGCGAGGCTCCTTTTACAAAGAGAATGCTTTGTTCGGAGCTGGAAGGTAAAGCAGGAAATTCAGAGTCTCTCCATCACACGAACAGCCGGACAGCACCAAAAGTTCCCAGTAGGGTCCAGTGAAAATCTCGCCTTGCAAGCTGACAGCAAGGGAAGGGAAGTTTCTCTTCCCATCACGCTTCCCCTGGATTCACAATGCACAGCTGCAGCTGAGCACGGTCTGCCCGTGCACGCAGAGGGCAATCGCACCCCAACCACCACAGGTCTGACTGGCTGCCAGCAGTGGTGAGTTGGGACTGACGGGCAGCAGCACGCGACCTTCTGTCCAGAGGAACTGCAGGAACAACAGGAAAAAGAGCAGCTTTTGGGCCAGCCTTTTTCATCCCAATTAAACCTGAGTGGGCTATTGCTTTGTGCTTCAGTCAATGAGGATGATGTGGAAGTGATAAATCATTCGAGAGCTCAAAAAAAAAAAAAAAAAAGCTGTGCTATGACTGATCATTTCAGTTCTGCTGTTTGATTCCGCTCACAATTGCAGCTAATGTCCAGAGCAGCCTGTTCTGGCATGCAGGCATCACTTGTGGTTATGCTCTGCCTTCCTCTTCCCTGGATCTTTTATTTTTAGTTTTTTTCACGTGGCGGTGCTGATGACTTAAGAAACGTTTTATTGAACTCTCATTGGCAAAAGCTGCTGTGAGGTGTGCTTGTACAGGGGCAGGCTGTGAATGTAATGGTTTCCCCATCTGCTTGCTTTAAAATAAAGGGAAAAAACAAGGTTCAACCCCACCTGACAGCTGATGTAAGGCTCAGCCCTTCTCCCCTCCTCAGTAATCACATTATTCACTGGGATGGAAAAACAGAGCCGGTGTTAATTTCCTCCATTTCCACACCTTGCCGTGCAGCACAAGCTCCTGCCACCTCTTGCCCTTTGGGGACCAATTAGTGCAGGTGAAACCAAACACAGCAGCAGTGTTGCTAGGGATGGGAGATGGGGACTTAGCGCAACTTTGGGAGCCCGGCAAGAAATCTGGAGGGGCAATTGTAAGCCTCGTAGAAAGGAAAGCTGGAGGTGATTTGGAAACGTATGGCGGCTGCTGGGAGCATCCCCAGGGTCTGTGATAGGCAGCTTTGAGGAGGGATGCTGCCTCTGGAGGAGTGGTGCAGCACCGGGGGCCTCCAAGCTTGGGTCCTGTGGACTTTGCAGAGTTCTTTCCCATCCATATGGTGACACTGTCAGAATCCAGCCTGTTACTGGAGGCAGGTAGAGGGCGAGCCTGAAGAAATGCTTGAGGAATTCGAACTCGGCGCATTTAGGCTTCTGTAGATGGGCCTAAGGAGCGATGGAGTGGCTCGTGTTCTGCTTCTTGCGCCTCTGACCCCTCCATTCCCACTGACTTAGAGGGAGAAATGAGTCACAGACAGCTTTAAAAACGTCTAAAAAATCAAAACCAGCCACCTTGGAGGAGATGCAGGACGGCACCGCGTTTTCCCTGCTCCTTTGTTTCTCTGGTTTCCTCTCTCAGCTCAGAACACGTGGGCACAGCTCCCACAGTCTGCAAACATCTTGGATCTCGCTCCTGTGTGCCTGCTTCACAACTTCTTCCTCTAGAAACAGCCCCTTCCCAGCTTTGTTCCTGTAATTACAGCACCACGCAGGACAG